CAGCTGAGGTGGCTCGGGTGTTTCGGATTCCTCCTCCTCGGATTCCTCCTGGACGCCTACCTAGGGAGGTGTTCCAGGGATGTCCCACCGGGAGGAGGCCTCGGGGAAGACCCAGGACACACTGGAGGAATCATGTCTCTCGGCTGGCCTGGGAATGCCTCGGGATCCCCCCGGAGGAGCTGGAGGAAGTTTCTGGGGAGAGCGAAGTCTGGGGTTCTCTCCTAAGACTGCTGCCCCCGCGACCCGGCCCCGGAAAAGCGACAGAAGATGAATAAATGAATGAAAAGGTGACACTGAAAGTCATTATAACCAATAGGTTAAGACTAATGCTGAGACTAAGGGCGTACTCACACTATGCTATCCGTACCATGCCCAGGCCCGTTTCCCGGATCGTTTGAGAAGAAAGAAAGAAAGAAAGAAAGAAGGAAAAGGAAGAAAGAAAGAAAGAAAGAAAGAGAGAGAGAGAGAAAGAAAGAAAGAAAGAAAGAAGAGGAAGGAAGGAAGGAAAAAAGAAAGAAAGAAAAGGAAGAAAGAAAGAAAGAAAGAAAGAAAGAAAGAAAGAAAAAAGGAAAGAAAGAGAAAAAAGAAAGAAAGAAAGAAAGAAGGAAAGAAAGAAAGAAGAGGAAGGAAGGAAAAAAAAGAAAGAAAGAAAGAAAAGGAAAGAAGAAAAAAGTAAGAAAGTAAGAAAAAAAGAAAGAAAAAAAAAGAAAGAAAGAAAGAAAGAAAGAAAGAAAGAAAGAAAGAAAGAAAGAAAGAAAGAAAATGAAAAAAGGAAGGAAGAAAGAAAGAAACCCTGTCAAGTGAGCGCTCTTTTGCCTGGTCTATATCCATCATTCGTAATCTCCATCAGTTGATCTTCTTGCACAGCCTTGGTGGATTCACCTGATTTGTTGACAAATGGGTTGTGGATCCATTCCTTGGCAGTTCCTTCACTGGGCCTTTTCCCCTTGGCAAAAAAAACTTTCCAAAGATGTCTGTTTCTTACTAATTTTGCTGCTTTTGGGTTAAATTTGGTCGCTAAAGTGACCGAGATGTAAGCGAGAGAATACGGTCATTTTTCAAAATAAAAGACTTTTCATAATAAAAGATCATTCAGACTCCATTTAATTAATGATTTATTGTGCAGCCTGCTACCAACTGATCCACGGACCGATGGTTGAGGACCACTAAGCTAGGGAATAAAATGAACTAAGGCAACATAATCATTCTCCTTATTGTCTACTGCTAAGAGTTTTATTAAATATGAGGCGACCCCCCACAAAGCTAGTTGATGCCCCCTGTGGGCTGGGACCCCCCTGTTGGGAACCGCTGGTATATAGTATTTTTGTTTGGTATGTTTTAGATAAAGTGCATGTTTTGTGTTTGTGTGTTTCAGAAAGCACAGTTCTCCTGGGATCCAGAGACTGTAGGAATGATTCATGGCTCGTTTTTTTGGGGATATATCGTCACTCAGATTCCAGGAGGGTTTATCTGTCAGAAATTTGCTGCCAACAGGTCAGTCAGTCATCCGGTCACTGAATGAAGATGTTTAAAAGAGTTAAACGCTCTTAATGCAGTGAATGTGTCTGTGTTTTTCAGGGTTTTTGGCTTTGCGGTGGTGTCCACGTCTATCCTGAATATGATGATTCCCACTGCGGCACGAATGCACTTCGGCTGTGTGATCCTAGTGAGGATATTACAGGGGCTCGTTGAGGTAAACAAAGAGAAAGAAATGCATTTGATCAAAAGTAAACTTGATTTCTGTCAAGATCCCGATCATCAAATATATATATATAGATATTTAAAAATGTCAAAGAGATGACAGTTGTAATAGATGCTCTATGTCCCTGTCGGACCATACACACACATTTTACAACTGCCCTAAATTGATCTGGTCCTCTTTAATTGACATACTGTTAAGTGCTCTTAATATTTCTGTAAAACCCTGCCCAATAATTGCAATTTTTGGTTTACCCCCTACTGACGGGTTATGTATTAAAGGGCCATGAAATCCCCTCGTTTCAGCAGGGTGTTTTCACACCTCTACTTTGGAAAAAGCCAGAAAAGTGGGTGTGTTCAGCTCTGTTTAGGGGGGAGTGTCGGAGGAACAAAAGAGGGAGGGTGTGGGAGTGTCTATTTGGGCACGCTCTGAGTTTCAGAGTCAAAACACACACACACACACACAGGGGAGAAAGTGACTGTGTTTACATGGACATCTTTAGTGGAATTATTTGCCAAATGATTAAATGGTGGATTTTAACTGCAGTTTGGCTCTTTCATTTAGGGAATTCATTCATGCCCCTCGCAACAAACGAGATATTTGATTCGAGGAACTGCTCTAAGTGTGTATTTTTCATGCAATGTTTGATACCGCACAGCGAATGAGAGAAAAAACCCTCAGCATTTCCCGGAAACTTAGATGCACACGGCAGGTAGTGTCAGAAAGCCGCGTGTGTTATTCCAATCACAAAATGCGGTTAAAATCCTACACAAGGTTAAAGTTTGGTTGTGGTGCTAACATGTTTACACTCGGTGTAATAGTTCGTTCGGTACGAACAAACTGAATAAACAAAGAGCACTGGTCGCTCACTTACCAAATCTGTAGAGACAGGACAATCATCAGCAACTAGAGCCGCGTCTTTATTAAGAGGAGACTACAAGCGAATCCGGATTTCAGCGTTTGCAGATGAGAACAGCTCTCAGGTAAACAATGTTCCTCCTTAGACACGTAAGTTATTGTTGTCGAGCGTCGCGTACACTGTTAATCCACACGTGAGTCCAGCTGAGCTCTCACAGAGAGAAAATGAAAACGAAACTTAACGGCAGCAAACTATAAAAGCAACACTTCACGCTTGTTTTGCCAACACAACGTGGCGTCTCTGTCGTGAAAACACGGTGACACTAATGAATATTAATGAAGTTGCACAATAGAGCGCGCTGATTGGTTTGAACCAAGCCTTACTCATGCATTAATGCAGCACACTCTGAGACGTATTAAAGCACACTCTGGCACAGACGCCCAGTCTGCACGCTGGAATACACGCTATAATGTCATGACCGTGACGCAGCTTCAAAAAAAAAAAAACGGAAGTACGAATTTGCTTGAAATAACGCAAAAACAACCAATTTACACTTTTTAGTGAAATATAGGTGTCCTAATAGTGTTTTTAGCAGTGTGGGACACATATACGACTGTCAACAGCTCAAAAAATATGTTTTGGTGACACCCTTTAAGTGACATATTAATCGATTTTGCCTCATTGTAAGCCAGAAGGCAAATATTGCTAAATTGGAAATCCTTGTGTACTCCTGCAAATCTGTCCAGGTTGAAGGAACTAATGTCTTTTTTACATTTGAGAAACAAATAAACACTCCATTGGGGGCTCACAGCAAGACGGTCGCTGATTCAAGCCCTAGCTGGGTGAATTGTCATTTCTGTGTGGAGTTTGCATGTTCTCCCCGTGTTGGGGTGGGTTTCCTCCAGGTGCTCCGGTTTCCCCCACAGTCCAAACACATGCATTATAGGGGAATTGGGTACGCTAAACTGTCCATAGTGTATGTGTATATGTCCTGGTCCTTCAGATTGGGTGTTGAGCATTGAACTAACAACTCGCCTTATAAAAACTAGATGTTACGAAACACCAGTATGGTGCAGCTAAATATCAACTTCAATATAAATGACCCTGGTGATTAGCAAGGGAATAAAAAGTTTATTTTCTAAAATGTGGAGCTCTGTGATTGCTTTTGTTGAGACCTTATCTTCTTCGTAGATGTAACCCAACCCTATCCCCCAGGTCTCCCCCCCCCCCTTTTTTCCCCTTCTAAGTATTTAGCATGATTTTATATTTTATTTATTTACTTATTTATTTTTATGAATTAATTTTGTTTATTTCTTAATTTATCTTTTGTGGGGTCGATTTGGGCTAGGCTAAAGATTTGGTCATTTACATAACTGTATTTCTTCATTACTCTCTGTTCAAAGCCAGCAGATCATACTATGCAGTTTGCATGTCATGTACCTGCTCTTATTCAAGTTTCAGCTTAATAAAGTTTTATAGAAAGTCAAAAGTCATTTGAAAGTAACTTTCTTCAGAACGGGACATTCTTTTGAAACTAATGTCCTTAGAAATGTAACACTCATCTGAAAGTAACATTCTTCAACAATAGAATGTTTTCCAAAGCAACAATTTTACAAACACAGCATTCTTTTGAAAGTGATTTTCTTATAAAGAGCATTTAATATTTAAAGGGCCCCTATGATGAAAATCCTCTTTTGGAAGCTCTCTGGACAGAACTGTGTGTAGGTATAGTGTGTCCACTGTCATACTGGTGTGAGACTAAGTATGTCTCTTTTTATACTTCTTGATGCTAAAATAGGATGCAAATCCCTCCCATTTTGAGGCCCACTGCAACGTGACGTAAGAGTGCGGTTTCCCTGGCCACCGAATTGATTGACAGCTGTGTATTAACATGTCTCTGTTGTAATCTGTATACTCATATCAACAAGACAGAACATGCGCAAAGCATCTGGTATTAAAAGATTTGTTCAGCTAACTGCGATCATCAATCATTATCTTGATAAGGGGATGAAATAGGTGCCCTTTAAGTAACATTCTTCAGAAAGTTACATTGTTTGAAAGTAACATTCTTATAAATGTAAAATACTTTTGATTATATAATTTTTTGAAAGTAACAATCATATCGTATAAATATATTGTTAGCTCTGAATGTAGCATCCGTATAAATTTTACGTTACATCTGAATGTAGCATTCTTACAAATTTAACATTACATCTGGAAGTAGCATTCGTATAAATTTAACGTTACATCTGAAAGTAGCATTCTTACAAATTTTACGTTACATCTGAAAGTAGCATTCTTACAAATTTAACGTTACTGCTGAATGTAGCATTCAAATAAATTTAACGTTGCTTCTGAATGTAGCATTCTTACAAATTTAAGGTTACTTCTGAAAGTAGCATTCTTACAAATTTAACATTATTTCTGAAAGTAGCGTTCGTATAAATTTAACGTTACTTCTGAATGTAGCATTTGTATAAATTTAACGTTACTTTTGAATGTAGCATTCGTATAAATTTAACGTTACTTCTGAATGTAGCATTCTTACAAATTTAACGTTACATCTGGAAGTAGCATTCGTATAAATTTAACGTTACATCTGAAAGTAGCATTCTTACAAATTTAAGGTTACTTCTGAAAATAGCATTCTTAAAAATGTAACATTATTTCTGAAAGTAGCATTCGTATAAATTTAACGTTACATCTGAAAGAAGCAATAATATCAATTTAATGTTACTTCTGAAAGAAGTGTTCATATAAATTTAACGTTACTTCTGAAAGTAGCATTCGTATAAATTTTACGTTACATCTGAATGTAGCATTCTTACAAATTTAACGTTACTTCTGAAAGTAGCATTCTTATGCTGCGTTCACACCAAATGCGGAACGCGCGTCAAGCTTGAGTGATTTACATGTTAAGTCAATGCAAACGCGCGAATAGACATCCTGCGGCGTGATACGCGCGAATGGCGCGGCGCGAACAGAACAGAAGCCCTGCCCATCATGCGAATCCGCGTCTGTTCTGAAGTGAATTTGACGCGCGAATGAAGCAAATAAACTCAAATGTTCATGTGGCAATTTACATGCGAATATCGCGATTTATCCACGTTTTCCGCCTCTGGTGTGAACACAGAATTACAAATTTAACGTTACTTCTGAAAGTAGCATTCATATAAATTTAAAGTTACATCTGAAAGTACCAATAGTATCAATTTAATGCTACTTCTGAAAGTAGCATTAGTTTCAATTTAACGTTACTTCTGACTGTTACATTCGTATAAATTTCACTTTAGTTTTGAAATAACTTTCATATAAATTTAAAGTTATTTCTGAAAGTAGCATTAGTATCAATTTAATGTTACTTCTAAAAGTAGCATTCTTACAAATTTAAGGTTATTTCTGAAAGTAGCATTCGTATGAATTTAACGTTACGTCGAAATGTAGCATTCATATACATTTATTATTACTTTTGAATGTAGCATTGGTATAAATTTAACGTTATTTTTGATAGTAGCATTCATATGAATTTAACATTACCTCTAAATGTAGCATTCGTATAAATTCACTTTACTTCTGTGTTAAAAATGTTTTCTTACTTTTAAACAGAAATTAGGAATAATATACAGGAGGGCTAATAACTTTGACTTCAACTGTAAACATTCACTGTCGTTTTAGTCAAAAAAGCAAGAGATCTAGATTTTCTGTGCGCACAGTAATGCTCTAGATATAGTTTATGACATCATCTGCTGTCTCTCCTGCTCAGGGTGTTTCTTACCCAGCATGTCATGGGATCTGGGCGAAATGGGCTCCGCCTCTAGAGAGAAGCCGATTGGCCACAACAGCATTCTGTGGTGAGGTCATTCATTCTGGATAACAGTTTAATATCTGTGGTCAACTGTCTCTGAGGTTTAATCATTTTAATAATTGATGTTTTGGTTTTCCTTTCTTTGAATAATAATTATTCATTCATTCATTCATTTTTTTATTCATTCTGCTATTTATTTATTTATTTATTTATTAGTTTGTTGTTGTTTATGTTACCTGAGTATCCTTACATAATTTTAAAACAATTATCATATGAATGTTATGTTGTTATTTTTAGTATTATAAATATGATACAATAAGAATAACTATATTAATAAAAAAATTAGTAAATTATCCTGTTTTAACATTTATACAAAAATAATGAAAATAATAAATATAATCATTATTATTCATAGTAATAATAATACTATCGATAATAACAACAACAACAACAACAACAACAATATTAATAATAATAATAATAATAATAATAATAATAATAATAATGGTGATTATAATAAATAATAATAATATGTAAAAATCTGTATATTATTTAGTTTATTTATACAAATTTTATAAAAAACATTTCATCTTCTAATTATTATTATTATTATTATTATTTGTGGTATTATTATTATTATTATTATTATTATTATTATTATTATTATTATTATTATTATTATTATTATTATTAACTAAATAACCAAAACTGTCTAATCATAAATTATTATTATTATTTTTTTTTTATTATTATCATTATTATTATTATTGGTATTATTATTATTATCATTATTATTGGTATTGTTATTATTATTATTATTATTAGTATTATTATTATTATTATTATTATTATTGGTATTATTATTATTATTATTATTATTATTATTATTATTATTATTATTATTATTATTATTAACCAAATAACCAAAACTGTTTGATCATAAATTATTATTATTAATATTATTATTATTATTATTATTATTATTATTATCATTATTATTATTATTATTATAGGGTAGTGGAAGTATTATTGTAGATATTTGTTGTTGTGGTTCATGCTTTAGTTATATTAATATATTTTTTCTTTATAATTTTTGTTAATAGGCCTTCATTTCCATTCAGCTTTGACTGTAATTGTCATGTCTGATGGTGTTTGTCAGGTTCGTATGCGGGCGCAGTGATAGCGATGCCGTTGGCTGGTGTTCTGGTCCAATACTCCGGCTGGTCCTCGGTCTTCTATGTGTACGGTGAGTGACACCAGCACACATATTCTGTATTATTAATGATTATTATATTAATAATAATCACACAGCAGGTCATGGTGTTGATGTCTCTGTGTCTGTGTCTGCGTGTTCAGGTAGTTTTGGTGTGTGTTGGTATCTGTTCTGGATTCTGGTGTCGTATGAGAGTCCAGCAGCTCATCCCACCATCACACCAGAGGAACGCAAATACATCGAGGACGCCATCGGGGAATCAGCTGGACTGGTCAACCCACTCACGGTACACACAAACACACGACTGCACCAGTCAAGACACAAACAGACACATACACACACATGCAGATAAGCACACATACATATGTGCACGAATGTACGCATACACACACGCATGAACACAAACGCATGCACAAAAGCACATAAACATATGCACACGCACACACATACACATGCATGCACACATAAACAGACATAGACACACAGAGATGCACACACACTCATGCACAGACACATATGCACACGAGCACACACATGCAAAGGCACACACATATACATACACATGCACAGATACACACATATATACATACGAGTAAGGGTGCGATACGTTAATCACACGAATAATAGTGCGATATGGCTGTATATCAACACTGGTGGGTGGGGGTGCTTTGGCATGAGGCCGCAGCCTCTCACCAGTGCTGATATACAGCCATATTGCACTGCTACGAGTGTGATATTGCGTTTATACAACAGTTCGATGGCAAAATAAATAAGAAAAACAAACACGGAGAGTCTAAAAACCCTTTTTATTAGGAACTACTTTCTTCCGCCATTCATTCACATCTGCAGCTGACATCAAAACAGCAGAAGCCGTTACTAATTCACCAACATCACTGTAGAGCTAGTGTTGGAATGACTCTATAGCGTAATGTCTAAAGTGATGACAAAGCAGCTGACTTTGCTCACATTTTAAGATTATAAGGCTGAACGTGACATGAAATGCCATTCGTCTACAGAGAAATCTACAGTGTTACAGTCTACTGTATTTCTCTTTTGCAATCGGGATAACACAATAATTAACCCTGAAAAAAGCAGCGCAATCAATATCTGACTGCTGTTGTGTTTGCGATAAGGAAAAACGCTAATAACATGCAAACTTTAAAAAAAATTGGTATAAATACAGCACTACAACATACAAAAGAGAGAGATCGACTTAGAATATCACTTACTAGCATACCTGCTAACATGTCTCTGAAAACCCGGGAGACTGGGGGGAGGGGGTGTTTGGGGGTGAGGTCTCTAAAGGATGCAGCGGGTTTTGGGCGGCCACTGCGATTGGGTACTGTACCAAAGTTGGTGACCCGGGGGTGTTTACAGACTGTACCAAAGGTGAAATTCTGGGAGTTGTCCGGAAGTCAATGCAAACCCGCGAATGGCGCGGTGTGAGTTGAGCATTTTGCGTGTTTGACGCACGAATCTCTCGAGTTAACCAATCAGGAGCTTGCTCTTGTGGGGGCGTGATTGTGACGTATCGCCTGTTGTCGGTGTCCGGGGAGATATCCTCCAGCCAACACCGACAACAGTTAATCAAACTGGGCTTGGCTCAGTCAGAAGCACCACTGAAAGCCCCGTCATCCATGTTCAGTTTCTGGAGGAGTTTATGAGCTCACAGAACTGGATGCACCTCTGAAAGGATGTAGTGGACTCAAACACGACCCTAAACGTATCCACGCTGTTTTTCAGTCTTCATGAAGCACATAAACACTGCTATTTTCTTAATAAAATCCATGTTAGCCATTTAGCAATGAAGCTAGAGTCACCCGGCAGACAGAAGCCCTGCCCATAACGCGAACCCGCATCTGTTCTCAAGTGAATTTGACCAGCGAATGAAGCGGGGATTGACGCGCAAATGAAGCGAGAAAACTCAAATATTCACGCGGCTATTTACTCGCGAATAGCACAATTTATCCGCGCGTTCCGCGTCTGGTGTGAACGCAGCATAAGGGCTTATTATGCAGTTCTGCAGCCATCTTGTGGATAGAAAACATCCACTGTCTTTGGTTTACTCTATGGCAGGCTAATAGCCGTCAACGAGGTCTCAGAAAATATAAATATTTTAAAATAGGCTCTATTCTTACAAATAAATTGCTTAGTTGCAATCTAAACATCTACATTCTTGACTAAAAAAAAGCCTTAAAAGTACATTATGTTGTCTAACAACAGTAATATTTGTCAAACTGTAGCGTCTCTGCTTGTTGCTGACTGTATGTGGGTGTAGTAATAAACAAAGGTGAATGGTAAAGAGGCCTTTGTGTGATGTTACTGGCAAAATATTCACGGCTATCAGCCAATCAGATTCAAGAACCAGACAGAACTGTTGTATGTATATGTATATGTATTTGTATATGTATATGTGTGTGTGTGTATATATATATATATATATATATATATATATATATATATATATATGCACACACACACTCATATAGACACACACGTACACAGTGATTCTGGACTGATTTTCTCCACTTCAGAAATTTAACACCCCCTGGCGTCAGTTCTTCACATCGATGCCCGTCTACGCCATCATCGTGGCCAACTTCTGCAGGAGCTGGACCTTCTACCTGCTGCTCATCAGCCAGCCGGCGTACTTTGAGGAGGTCTTCAAGTTCGAGATCAGCAAGGTCCGGGAAAAATATGTGTACAGATTAACAATAAACAGTTGACGTCAGAATTATTCACCTGCAAATTTACTTTTCTAAATGATGTTTAACAGGGCAAGGAATTTTCACAGTATTTCCTATAATATTTTTTCTTAAATATTAACCTAGTGAAGCCTTTAAATGTCACTTTAAGCTAAAAACTAGTGTGTTGAGAAATAAAATGTGTAAAAGACTAAATATTTGGCATTAAGGCTAATACTTTTGCCGTTTATGCAGGTTGGCATTCTCTCTGCTCTCCCTCATCTGGTGATGACCATTGTTGTGCCCATCGGCGGTCAGTTGGCAGATTATCTGCGAACTCATAACCTCATGACCACCACCAACGTCAGGAAACTCATGAACTGCGGAGGTGACTCACTCTGAGCATAATTAATCAGTCATGTGACCGATCTACAACTGCTGATTGGTTGAGGGAGCATCTTATATTTCTCTGTGTGTTCAGGTTTTGGTTTGGAGGCCACGTTTCTGCTGGTTGTGGGTTTTTCTCACACGAAAGGAGTCGCCATTTCATTTCTGGTTCTTGCTGTTGGGTTTAGTGGTTTCGCCATCTCAGGTAAGAATAACGATGTTTAGTTAAAGCTTATGTTTTTAGTAGAAATACTTTTATTCTGCAGGATAGCGCTAAAGACAGTCAATTATTTATTTGTAAATGTGAATTATTATTAATTTATGTACTGTTGCATTGTATTACGGTTTTAATTTAATTTTAATGAATTTTTAAAGTTTTTTTTGTTTTCATTTGAGTTTTCATTTGTTTGTTGTTATTTGTTATTATTCTGAGCACTGAACATAATAATGATAAACATAATAACAATTATAGAAATAGTTGTAATTGTTGTAGATTTTTTTTAATGTCGAATATTCTGCTTTAATAATAATACAAATAATTTTGTTAGTCAATTTTGGTTATTCCGTAGTATTATTATTATTATTATTATTATTATTATTATTATTATTATTATTATTATTATTATTATTATTATATAACAATTGGTTATTCAGTTTTAATAATAATATTATATTTTTTATTATTCAATTTTGTTTATTAATTTTTTATATTAATAATACTTTCTGTTATTATTGTAAGTTATCATTATTATTATACATTTTTCAGATTTAATTATAATAATTATAGGTCCGGTTTCCCCCACAAGTCCAAAGACATGCACTGTAGGTGAATTGGGTAAGCTAAATTGTCCGTAGTGTATGAGTGTGAATAAGTGTGTATGGGTGTTTCCCGGTGATAAGTTGCAGCTGGAATGGCATCCAATTCATAGAACACATGCTGGATAAGTTGGCGGTTCATTCCGCTGTAACAACCGCTGATTATTTAAGGTACTAAGTCGAAAAGAAAATGAATGAATAAATGTTAATAATTATAATGATCATTTTTAGTCCGTTTTGGTTATTCAGTTTTAAAAGTAAAAATAATATTTTTTATTAGTCAACTTTGGTTATTCCTTTTTTATATTAATAATACAGTCTATTATTATTATTATAAGTTATCATTATTATATGATTTTCAGATTTAATAATAATTTTTATGATAATTATAATAATTTTTTTGTCAGTTTTGGTTTTTCAGTTTTAATAATCATAATATTTTTCATTAGTCAATTTTGATTATTATTATTTTTTAGAATAATAAGTTCTATTAATATAAGTTTTTCTGATTTAATAATAGTTATAATAATATTTTTTTATTAGGAAGTTTTGTTTTTTGAGTTTTAATATTATTATTATTATTATTATTATTATTATTATTATTATTATTATTATTATTATTATTACCATTAATAAAACAGAATAACTAAAATAAACTAATCAAAATTATTGTTGTTGTTGTTGTTAATAATAACAAAAATAGTCATTATTTTGTGTGTTTTGATCAAATAAAATGAGCTGAGAGTCTTGAAAGAAAAGAGAATGTTATCTTGTCACCCTCAGGCTTCAATGTGAATCATCTGGACATTGCACCGCGCTACGCCAGTATACTGATGGGCATCTCTAACGGCGTCGGGACGCTCTCCGGCATGGTGTGTCCTTTGATTGTTGGTGCCATGACCAAAAACAAGGTACAGACTTCCAATCATAGAGCAGTCAGCTGACACATTTCCATTACTCTTCAAAATACTGATGCAGAAACAACTGAACTGAGTTTGAAGCGTTTAAAAACCTGATGGCCAAAACCCTGAAAATGCAACAAAAACTCAAAACTCACAACATGCATTAGAACTGCTTTTTCATTCCTGCTGTAAACTTTAAATTGAAAGTATAATTTATGAATGCACTTACCTTATTATGTAATATCATTAATTATTAAGTGTTTGCTTCATAGTGGAATTAACTAATATTAATTTGTATTCTTTAATTTTAAAAAAGTCTCATTAAAAGCTCTACAATCCCATAAACTGATTTGAGATCAAGAAAAACTATGAAACCTGTTCAGAGAAACCTGCTCAACCCGAGCAAACCTGCATACTGTGGATTTTAAGGAGAATCATTCCATTTTCAAAGGGGTAAAAACAATTAGGATGAAATAATCCTTATTACTCTGCACCTCAGAGATCGTGTGATCTTGCCAATTTAATACCTGCTCCGAACCACTGAGATCAAAGCTTCATTAATCAGTGCTTCGAAAGCAGCCATCACTATTGAAAACTACGCAAATTCAAATACGAATTTCATCAATTTGTCCATATCACGGTCAAATTATTATGTTTGTATGAGGTGGTTATCTGGAAATAGTAATATTTTTATATTTATTTTTGTATTTTTTTAACAACAACAACAACAACAACAACGACAAAAGGAACAAACAAACCCAAAAAATACATACACAAATAATAATAATAATAATAATTTAAGAAATTACACCCAAGTAGGGCATTACTATTAAATGTAAAAATATCACACAATTTATTTTCCCACTACACGTTCCTACTACAAGTTTGTATCATTCAACAGCAAGAGAGAAAAAGAACAAGAAAAAAGACAGCTACAGACAGGGTTAAATATGCAAGACGGGATATATAAAGCTATTTTTAAAAAAATACAACAGAAAAGGTTGCCAAGCTGTATAGAAATCCTGTTTGCCATTAATTGTATATCTAATTTTCTCTTTTTGAATGAACTGCAACAGGTCATACATCCAATGAAAGTAGTTTGGCGAAGAAGGTTTTTTCCAGTTCAGTAGGATAATTCTTTTAGCAATTATTAAGCAAAAGGCTAATACATTTGACTATAAAGACGATAGCGACACATTTAGGAGTAATATTTGTAATATTAATAATAATAACAGTAATAGTAATAATCATAATATTCATTAATATATCTATTTAAAGAAAAACGTTAGATGATAGACCTACCGTAGCTTTGTTTACCAAACCAGTTCTTCTTGCATTTGCATGGTAAACTTTAAGAACACAACTTATTAATGTAATAGTTAATTCAATATTTTCAGCTCCTATACTCAAAATCATTCTGTATAGATCTGCAGATTTTTATTATTACCATTATTATTATTATTATTATTATTATTATTATTATTATTATTATTATTATTATTATTACTATTATTGTTATTACTATTATTGTTATTATTATATATAAAGTTGAATTAAGAATTATTAGCCCCCTGTGATTTTTTATTTATTTAATTTTATTAGTTTTTAAATATTTCCCAAATGATGTTTGACAGATACAAGAACTTTTCACTGTATGTCTGATAACATTTTTCCTTCTGGAGAAAGTCTTATTTGTTTTATTTAAGCTAGAATAAAAGCAGTTTTTAATTTTTTAAACATCATTTTTAGGTCAATATTATTAGCCCCTTTAAGCAACATTTGTTTTCGATAGTCTACAGAACAAATTATCGTTATACAATTATACTTAATTACTCTAACCTGTCTAATTAACCTAATTAGGCCTTTAAAAGTCACTTTAAGCTGTATAGAAGTGTCTTGAAAATATATATAGTCAAATATTATTTAACGTCATCTTGACAAAGAGAAAATAATCAGTTATTAGAAATGAGTTATTGAAACTATTATGTTTATAAATGTGTTGAAAAATCTGCTCTCCGCTAAACAGAAAACGGGAAAAAAATAAACGGGGGGTCTAATAATTCTGACTTCAACTATATATTTTAATGAATTTTCTATTATTATATAAAATTCTGTGCAGAAATAGCAAAACCTCAGTAGATTTTGTCTGGCTCTAGTCATGATGCAGCAGGTGCTAGAAGACTCTCTTTGCAATGCACAGCTCAAAGAAAGAAACAACACAATAAATAAAACCCAGAAAACCAGATACTGATACTGGAGCCAGATACTGGAGGCTCACCTTGCCAATTATGTTCTGATCCACAAACAACATTGACTACGATAGAAGTAAACCTACCTTTTGGACTGACTTTGTTTTATTCACATAACACTCAGGTATTGTTATTTTATCTATGAACATTAAAATATCTGCAGAGGTTTGTAATGGAAATGGGCCTAAAGTGTTGTGTGTGCTGACTTTTTCTTTCCAGCGAATTCAGGCTTCTCTTCCTGCAGAGATCATGTGTCATTCACTGCTGTCATTATATTACTGCTGCTTATGCCATGTTTATCTCTCTCTCTCTCTCTCTCTCTCTCTCTCTCTCTCTCTCTCTCCCTCTCTCTCTCTCCTGTTTCTTAGCATCACATTTCCTTCACGCATACATTCTCTTTTTGAACAGGTCACACATGCTCTTGGCACAGACCTCATTCATTCTCATGCTGTGTTTCTCTCTGTAGACGCGCGAGGAATGGCAGTATGTGTTTCTCATTGCTTCACTTGTTCATTATGGTGGAGTTATCTTCTACGGTGAATATTTCTGTCCATTCCTTCCATCCATCATTTGCTATTGATCAGTCTGGGTCAATTTGTTGTTGGGATTCTCATATCTGTGCCATATTGAGTAAAATAGGGTGAAGCAGTTGAACATATCAAATTTTCATCCTCAAAATGAGTACAAATCTGAAACCTAAATTTCCCTAAAGAAAATATATTAGTATGTTTTGCAAAAAAATATTAAATATTTGATTATAGTAATTAGTAAATGCTGTCAATAATATAGTAATAAAATCATTTTGTTGCATAAGCAATATATACACAGACTGATATATAATAATATCAATTATAATGATAATAATAATAAGAAGAATATTTAAATATTTGATTATAGTAATTAGTAATTTCTGTCAATAATATATTGATAAAAATCATCTTGTTGCATAAGCAATATGTACACGGACTAATTTATGTTATTATTATTATTGTAATATATTATAATATAATATTATTATAATATTTTTGATTAGTCAATTTTGGTTATTCAGTTTAATATTATTATTATTATTATTATTATTATTATTATTATTATTATTATTATTATTATTATATTTTCAGTTTTTACAATAATAATTATAATAATAATAAATGTAATAATTTATGATTACCCAGTTTTGGTTATTTAGTTAATAATAATAATTAAATATTTGATTATAGTAATTATTAATTGCTGTCATTAATATAGTGATAAAAATAATCTTGTTGCATAAGCAATATATACACACACTAATTAATAATAATAATAATAATTAATATTATTATTATATTTTTATGTCAATTTGGGTTATTCCGTTTTATTAATATTATAAATAATAATAATAATAATAATTTATGTTTAGCCAGTTTTGGTTATTTAGTTAACAATAATAATTATAATAATAATAATACTATTTAAATATTTGATTATAGTAATTAGTAATTGCTGTCATTAATATAATAAATAAAATCATCTTGTTGCATAAGCAATATATACACACACTAATTAATAATAATAATAACAATAACAATAATAATAATAATAATAATAATAATAATAATAATAATTATTATTATTATTATTATTATTATTATTATTTTAAATTTTATGTCAATTTTGGTTATTGCGTTTTATTGATATTATAAATAATATAATAATAATAATAATAATAATAATAATAATAATAATAATAATAATAATAATAATAATAATAATTTATGTTTAGCCAGTTTTGGTTATTTAGTTAATAATAATCATTAAATATTTTAATTGTAGTAATTAGTAATTGCTGGTATTAATATAGTGATAAAAATCATTGTGTTGCATAAGCAATATATACACACACTAATTAATAATAATAATATTAAAAGTAATAATAATAATAATAATTATAATAATATTTTAATGTCAATTTTGGTTATTCCATTTTATTAATATAATAATAATAATAATAATAATAATAATAAATATAATAATTTATGATTAGCCAGTTTTGGTTATTTAGTTAATAATAATAATTAAATACTTGATTATAGTAATAAGTAATTGCTTTCATTAATATAGTGATAAAAATCATCTTGTTGCATAAGCTATATATACACACTAATTAATAATATAATAATAATAGTAATAACAATAATAATAATAATAATAATAATAATAATAATAATATCATCTATCTATCTATCTATCTATCTATCTATCTATCTATCTATCTATCTATCTATCTATCTATCTATCTATCTATCTATCTATCTATCTATCTATCTATCTATCTATCTATCTATCTATCTATCTATCTATTTGTCTATTTAAGGTAGATACTATTAGTTCATGATAGTTATTAAAAATTCTACATTATATAGTAAAATTAATTAACAAAGAGTTGTAAATACTACATATAATACACCCCATATCAAACAATTAGGCCTCCTGTTTCACTGACAGTTTAATTGATCACCTGCATAGAATTGACTTGGATTGAAGTTGGTTTAATATAAAATAAAATAAAAAAATTGCTTGGATGTTGCTAAGCTACTTTTACCATGTAGCGTTTAGCTTAGCTCGCTACAATTGGCAGGGGGTAGCTTTTAGTGTAGGTAAGCTTTAAGTGTGGTTAGCACTACATTTTCTAGGTAGCTTGTGTCCAACATTTAAATATGAACTGGATCCAAATGTCCACCAAAATACGCCTAAAGCTATTCAACAAAGCCCATTCCATTCTTATTTTAGGATGATTTGGAAAAACATTTTTGATCCACTTCAAATGTTGAGCACTAAATAGGCTGAGAATGTATGATTTAAAAAATATTTAGGTCAAAAAATGGAAATTTAAACAAACTTTTTATTGTGTCTGATATTAAATAGCTCTATGATTGATGATGGTATGGCTGTTGTTGTCTCAGGTCTCTTTGCGTCAGGAGAGAAGCAGCCGTGGGCCGAGCCGGAGAACACGAGCGAGGAGAAATGCGGGATTTTAGGAGAAGACGAGCTGGCGGATGAAACTGAGGAGCTGTACCGCTCAGCGGGCGGTGGCTATGGTGCAACCATGCAATCAGGAGACCCCAACGGGGCGGGGACTGGAGGGGGCGGAGCCGGAGGTAGCTGGGTCTCAGACTGGGACAAAACGGAGGAATACGTTCAACCAGTGGGAACAAACAGCTTCCTGTACGGAGGAGAAGAGGGCAGAGGGATGAACGAATGACTTCCACAGCTCACAGAGTACAAGCAGAACGGGACGGGTGGGTGAAACACATCCCAAACACTAACTGACTGGAACGAGGACTTGCTTTTTAACCCAAACTAAAAGAAAATACTATAAGTAACATCAAGGCTTTCCAGTGATATCACACAGATTGAGTAGAGGTGTGTGTGAGAGTGTGTTTTGAGTGCATGTGTGGACGTTTAACACGATTTGAAGGTCATTAACGGGGTCATGAACTAGTTTAGCGTATGTAAAGGTAAATTAACACTATAATAAACTCTTTTCTGTTTTGACCCACATCAGAACTCTCTCTTTGAATGGCTGATTGAAGTCACACTCACTGTTCTGATTGGCTGGGACTTTTGCATATTAACAAGGCAAAACAGGCAGTGATGTAAAAGTGGGCGTTGATCTTGTGTGGAGGCGGAGCTTATTTACCTAATGACATCATAGTTTAGAACACACCAGAGCCTGTGGTTTTGTCCGACTGCCTTTAATAAAAGCTGATTTTAGAGGAACCACAGAGTTTATAGTTCTGAAACTTGCAGTATTGTTTTTATAGTATTAAGAGTCTTCATTTGGCAAAAGATCAAGGGTTTTTTGGTTTCTCAGTTCATGACCCCTTTAAATCAGTCCAAGTGTTTGACTTTCTGCTGAGTTTTAGTATGTAAACTGATCATCGCGGGTTCGACAGTGTTACTCTTATGAAATATTACTGCCTAATTTGTGACAATCCTGAAACTGTGTGTGAAAGGTGAATCTCACACACGAAACAGACGTTCAAGTTAAATTCTGCAGCACAACTAAGGCATAATTCCAATGACAAAAGTACAATTTAGGGAATTGATCTCATGTGCCAATACTGTGAGGTGTGTTTAGTATTGGTCCCTTTCCAGTGAGAGTCTCATGTAGACGGATGCACAGTTAATGGCTAGTGATAGGAATTATTATTCGGATGAGCTTATGGTAGCGTTGATAATATACAGTCGTGGTCAAAATTATTGGCACCCCTGGTAAACATGACATGGAGATACATCTGTATTATTAATACTTTCTGAACTCTGAAAATTAAAATTTGGGCACAATCTCATTACAAAATAAATGTTTTTCTCCAATACAAGTTGGTCAAAATTATTGGCGCCCCATTTGGCAAATTTGCCCAGATTTGTTATGATGCTTGATGACTTTGAAGGAAAATTGGTAAAAGATATAAGCATTTTCCATACAGAATCTTGCAAGATCATTCAGGTTTTCTGGTCCATATTGCAGCTCTTTTCTCATTTACTAAATGGTTCAGGTCAGGTGACTAAAATGGCCATTGCAGAACCCTTCTTTGGAACCCATTTGTTCAATTCAGTTCAATTCATTTTTATTTGTATAGCACTTTTACAATGTAAATTGTGTCAAAGCAGCTTCACATAGAACTTCTAGTAAACTGAAACAGTGTCAGTCCAGTTTTCAGAGTTGAAGTTTAGTTTAGTTCAGTTCAGTGTGGTTTAATTTTCACTGCTGAAAGTCTAAACACTGAAGAGCAAATCCATCGATGCTCAGCTACACAAGTCCCAAACTTTGTGTGGTCATCTTGTGCATTTTGTATGCTCATGTGACCATGAAACCATCACATTTGAACTTCCTGTAGTGTCTGACAGCTAAATATGCTGCAGTTAGTTTTCTGATGGAGTGAAGAGTTATTGTTTCTAATACTGCCCCACATAATTTGTGGTCACGTTGATGCTGTTTGATTTTAATGATTTAATGATTTATTTTTTCTGATCTTAAGATCCTAATCATTTTAGCAATTTTCCACCTGTAATTCTCAGAGTACATCAAGATTCTCAGAGCACATAAAGATGATACAGACACACATCTTCCTTATTGTCTTAACTCTCTTTATTAAGTCTGCATATTTATTCCTTTTTCTTCAACTTAGTCCCTTATTTATCAGGGGTCGCCACAGCGAAATGAACCACCAACTATTCCAGCATATGTTTTACGCAATGGATGCCCTTCCAGCCGCAACCCCGTACTGGGAAACACACATTCACTTTCACACACACACTACTAGTTAATCCAATTAACCTATAGCGCATGTGTTTGGACTGTGGGGGAAACCGGAGCACCCTGAGAACATGCAAACTCCACGCAGAAATGCCAACTGACCCAGCTGGGATACGAACCAGCAACCTTCTTGCTGTGAGGCAACAGTGCTAACCACTGAGCCCCTGTGCCACCCTTTAGTCTGTATATTTGAACTATGCTCTTATTTAATATTACCTAAACTCTGTGCTTTCAATCTGTGCTGAATGAATGATGAAATTTGGCCTTTGTTTTCCTCATATTAATACTTCATGTTTATATTTTAATCATAAGAACTTTTTGGGGTGCCAATAATTTTGGCCACTATGTAATGGAGAAACACAAACATAATGAGACCTCCATTTTATTAAAAAAAAAAAGGTTGCATTTTTTTGTAAAGCTTTGAATGGAAGATAAAAAGGTAAACAAAGCAGATTTAATTTCACAGCATTCTAGCTCATATTTTCCAAGGGTGCTAATAATTTTGACCATGGCTTTACTTGTTTTGATGGCTAGGTGAATCATTTTTTATGTATTTTATTCAAAACCGCATAGTTAAGTCTTGTTCATTTGTTAAATGTTTATTTGTTCAAAATGTTAAAAATCATAATGAAATTGACAGTAATCCACAAATACTGACAGTAGAGCTGTTTTCATTGAATCTGAAACATTTTTTCAACTTTTTTTCTTTTCTTTTATAATTAAAACATCATGTTCAGCCTTTATTGATTGATTTAATTTTGTTTTATAAGTCTGACAAAATGATGCCAAGCGCTGAGTGTTTGCGTGAAGGGTGTTCATTCAGCGTCAGGGTGGTTTTTATGTGATCAACATGCTTAGTTTGTTTCCATTTTCAGTGTTATAGTCACTGTTTAGCTTTAATCACACATATAAATGAGAGAGGAACCAGAAAAAAGGATTGTTCAGAAGATGAAATGACCCTGCAGGTTAGTTTTGGAATGAATGGAAAGAAATAACACATTTTAACTACAATTAAAGTCAGATGTTACAGCGGCACTTACTCTTTTTCTCTTCAGCATGGCACATTTCAGTATATTCTCAGTATATTCGCTTTTTAAAAGGGATAGTGTATACAAAAATGAAAGATTTGCTGTTATTTACTCACCAATGATGTCTTCTCAAATGTTCTTATGTTTCAGAGACGCTTTGGTAAATGCAATTTATCAGCCCCGAAATTAATTAATTACATTAATATTTTTGTTTTGCATAAATAACAGTTAACACAAATATTTTCAAAAACATCTTAGAAGATTTGTTTTTTATTTAATTCTTTAATTCTTATTTAATATTATGTAACGGAGGCCAGCTACTGAAGTGCTATATACTGTAGGTAAACCTCGCACCTCTGACTTTAAAAGGTGCTCTAGCTATGGACACAAGAGGCCATGGTCTTTAGCCTCCTTGCTAGAGCAACCAATTTTCATACAAAGAATCACCGGTTCGATCCCAGCTCAGAGTGGGTTGGGTTCAGTAGGAGCAGTGGGTAATGTGGGGGCTCATCCGGGATGAAAATGAGGTTTAGGAGGGGTGAGTGTAATGAAGGCTAACTAGCAAAGTGCTATGCAGGCAAACCTCACTCCTCTGACCTCAAAAGGTGCTTTAGTGACAGATACTAGCGGCCATGGTGTTTAGCCTCCTTGTTAGAGCAACCGACTCCCATACAAAGAATCACCGGTTCGATCCCTGCTCAGACCGGGTTGGGTGCAGTAGGAACAGTAGGTTCAATGTGGGGGCTCGTCCGGGATGGAAGTGAGGTTTAGTGGGGTGAGTGTAACAGAAGCCAGCTAGCTAAGTGCTATGCAGGTAAACCTCACTCCTCTGACCTCTAAAGGTGTTACAGTTACAGAAACCAATTCCAATACAAAAAAATCGCAGTTCAATCCCAGCTCAGAGCAGGTTGGGTGCAGTGGGACCAGTAGGTTACAATTACACAGCAAAATATGGGGACCCAAAACAACTCTATGGGTGTTAATTTCAACCCTTTGAAAGTGTCTCATGGGGTCCACTCAAAACAGACTTAAATCAACACTTTCAAAAGGGTTGGCACATTGACACCGAAGAAAGGGTTAATTTTAACTCTGGGCAGAGTTAAAACATGTAACTATATTCAACACCGCCTGGTGTAATATATTGTTATTTTATTCAACTCTCTTGAGTGTAAATATGGTAAAAAGGTCAAATAGACTGTAAATTACAAAAGAAAAAACATTTTATTTGAAAACATTCACCACTTCAACAATTCATTCAGTTTTTAAAATGCAACAATGTCAAATATGCTTTAAATGTTTTATTAGTACAGACAGTATCAACAAAATATGTATGACCAGTGCTCAAAAAGGCTGTTTCAGTCCTTTGGTCCAAACTTGATGTTTCATCAGAGCAATTTGAAAGTTCAATATAGCGTCACTCATAGTTTTCTTCTGAACTCATAGTTTTCTTCTGAAATTACATTTTAAACAACTTGGCGTGCAAATCTTTCACTTCTGGTGTTTCCTTGGTCCTCCATATCAAACACAGCAGTTTAAATGAAGGTATAAATGCTGTAAACTTGTGTGAAAACAAACTAGAGCTAGGAAATCTCATCAAGCATGTCCTGTGAATGAAGTGCTTCCCAGCCACAGGATGTCCTTTATATCCATGACGATGTAGCAGCTGCTGATCGCTCGTCTGGTGGTTCCTGATGCACAGATATAGGGTGATGCTCATCTAAGAACTCTTCAAGACTCCAGCATGACTAAGAAAAATGTTTGAAAACAAATTGCAATCAAATTCTATGATATATTTAAAAGAACATTTAAAGTAAATAAAACATTAAAGAAATCTAAACTCACCTTTTGAAAATCTTCATGATGATCCACAACTTGACTCTCCCAGCTGATTGAGGTGACAGGATATGGAAAAGTAGAAAAAACACATACATCACTGTTGGATCTCCAAAAACAATTAGGTTAACCACTATGTCTAGAACTGGAAAAACAGGCAGCTGTCTGTCCAGAATCCTGAATTTAACACAACACTTGGAGCAAAATTTAGAGGAGCTTAAAATCTTTTATATCATTTAGTGATGCTGATTTCCCAAAAATATTGGCCACAGTGTAAAAAATATTCATAAACTTACAGTTTTCTGTAAGCGTGTGCGTGCATGTGTGTGTGCGTGTGTGTGTGTGTGCGTGCATGTTTCTTTACCAGATTCAACTTGTTAGGCCCTTTCAGGTCCAGTATTGACGCCACCTTTCCTGGAGTCTAGCAGATGTTTCAGGTCCAAATATAATCTTAAATATTAGGATAAGCAGAAGAGGAAAAGTGCAAAGCAGAGCAAAACATTATTTAAGTAACAGTTCACTCACAATACAAAACTCATCACCGTCATGTCATTTGTTATTCTCTAATGCTCTAATACCCTCTTAGCTTATTGTGAAACAAATAAAGAACTTTATCAAACATACCTTCATTATTATCACCACATATGACCAAGAAGGTGTGCTTGGTGTCATTTCACCAACTCTGGAAATACACCATCCGTCTCTAATCAGCCACCGTCACAGGGTCTTGTGTTATTGTATAGAGAACTGTGGCTGTTAAAAAACAACAACACATTAGTATCAAACACATATGCATAACCTTCAGATAAAAGAGATAAACATCACAAAGTATGCCTCACACTTTTTCAGATATCTTTTGATTCAGATGTTGATTATTGATAATAAATCTAAAAATCAAACTTATATCATCATTAGGCTGCTCAAATATGAATCAGTTGATTAATTTTACAGACAGGTGGCTGTTTACAACGCACTAAATTGTCTTTAATAAAAAGGAAATGTTGTGTACAGTACATGCTAAGTTTAGCCTATAGTTTTAAGCACAATATCATGTGGGAGAAAAAGCTTGACTTAGATGTTCCTGACTACAGAAATAGCCTAACTTACTAACGTCAGACATCCCGAGTTGGGAAAAGTCATTTTCGGGGGATACAGAGTTGATTTGCGGGAGGTAACGTTAGCGGGAGAGATGAGAACCTGAAGAGCAATGAGATGAGTTGCGCGCGACGTACCTGAAGAGCGGTGGGGGTGACTTGCGTGCGACGTACCTGAAGAGCTGGGAGGGATGCGGTGGAGAGGGGTGTGTAAAGTGTTGAATGACCGGGCGGGAGACGCGCGATTTCCAGGAGATTATCATTCATTTGCGGGCATCTACTTGGGCATCTGGGAGTCTCTGTGCATTTGCGGGATAACGTTAACGTTAGTCCCGCAACTTCCGGGAGACTTCTGTAACGTCAAATGTCTGATAAAGTGCAAACGTGGTCATTTAAAGACATTAATAATAACATTCCGACTTTAATGGTTGTCAACACTTAATATAATTCAAGCGTAACTGTTACGTTATCACGCGAGTCTATGGACTAACGTTATATGGACGGCCACGAATGAACCAGTTTAAAAGAGCTGCGGTGTTTAAAATAACCAAATTAACGTACACGAATAACAAACAATCATATGTTTCAGTCAGGAAGCCTTTTACAAGTAAGCATGTTCATTTACTCACCAGATATGTTTTAGAAACTCCAGAGCTCATGGAAACCGTCCTGTGTTGCCGTTAGCATCCGGGCAGAGTAGGCTAGGCTGCTCCGGGGATTCCCTCGCTAGTTTGCTTCAAATTAAAGGAGAAGTGTCGATTTTATTTTTCAGATGGGTAACAACGCACAAAATAGCATTAAGCGTGACAGAAATGTGTTGAACATGTACATTTGATGTTTTTATGCACTATGT